TCTGCTAATCAGTCTTCTCCACCCACATTGTGTTGTTTTTTGTTTCGTTTTTTTTTTTTATTCTAAGGAAGTCTTGGGTGAAAATGGTTGAAATGTCAGTAGGAACAAAGGGAACAGGTTATTAGAAAAATTAAAAGAAAAAACACTTTCAAGACAACTGATTCTTGCTTGAGGGGGAAATACTATAGTCTTTTGTTGAAGATTAACAATTTTAACCCTTCCAAAAATAACAGTAGTATACTGAACTTGTGACTGGTAGTTCATTCAACAATTCAGTCTTTGATTTTGGTCCTGTAGACAAAATTAATTTCGAGAACCTTGTCTTCAACTTTTACACTCTGCAGATGTAAACTCTTTAAGCTGGCAAAAATTTCTTTGATTGCCCAACCTTTCAAGGGGTGTTGGAGTTGGTGGGGTAGTGATGTCAACTTGCAATGTCTTTGGCAATCTGAATGCACTATTGTCCCTAGTGCATGACTGCTTGACTACCTACTCAACTACTTGACTGCATGGCTACCTGACTATGTGACAGCCAAAACTATTTCACAGACCAGGATTGGATTACTTATTGCAGTGATATATAAATGAGGTACTGTATAAAAGGCAGTATCGCTATACCTATGGGACAGTTATCTTCTATTGATGAGACTACAGCTGTCAAAGAATACGCATCATAACAATATGGCATCACTGTTTGGTTTCTTAACCACAATGGGTAATGCTGAATATATTGAAACCTGGCTTAGATGTTTTGCAGCATTGACGAAAGGGGAAAAAGTTAATGGAGGAGAAAATGGAGTTATGGATTTGTTTTTGGCCTCAATGGGGTGTGAGGCCATAAAAAATCCCTGTTATGGTCTATCCCAAAGTGTTGGAAGATTTAGCCTATGTAGAAATTGCTGTAATCATTAAAACAAATATACAAAAAAAAGAAGATCAGTCATAGTGGAAAGAACTAGATTTCTCAAAAGTAGACAGAAACCGCATAAAACAATTGTGCAATATGTACAGTGATTGAAAAAAGCATTGAGATATTTTGAATTTGAAAGAATGGGTTCAGAACAAATGTCTATCGAAGACAAACTAATTGTGCTAAGACGAATTGAAGGGAGGTTTAACATCTTGTACAAGCCTAAAATTCTAGAGTGGCTTCAAGCGCATAATATGAATCTGGAAGCATGTGTTGAGTTTCTTGCAACAATTGGAATTGATCCAAAAATTTAATGCCTCCAAAGACTTATAGAACTACCATGAGTTTACTTGTATGCAGATATTGCAATAAGGAACATGAAAAGAGCATAAATAAGTGTCTAGCCTTTGGGAAATTATGTTTTAAGTATAAAAAAAAGGAATCATTTCCAGACAGTATGCACATAGGAAAAGCGAGTGGGAAAAAGTGGAAAATACAGATCCTCCAATTGAAAATGCAGAAGAAGGTAAATGATGAAGGTTAACCGAGTAACTTTACTCATGCAGGTTGATACTGGAAGTGATGTTAGGTTGATACCGAGGAATGTTTTGGAAAGAATGAGTGGACCAAAGTTAAAGAAAAGTAATCTCCAGTTGAAAAAGTTCAATGGGTCAATCAATCAATCAATCAATCAATGTTGGAAAACATCAAAAACCACGACTTTTTAGGAATTGATGTGTTAAGAGTGGATACATTGAAGCTGATAAATTCCATGAAGTCTGTAGAACCGGATGTGGATTATTAAGAGGATACAAGGCGAGTATTTGGCTTAAAGAAAGCAGTCAACCTATGTATTTTGAGCCTGAAATGTTTCTGTTCACATGCTACCTTTGGTTGTTGCTAAGCTAAGCAAATTGATGGAACAAGGAATATAAGAAAAAGTTAGTCAGGGTGGTAGCAGTTGGGCTTCACCCACTGTGGCAATACACAAGCCCAATGGTGGGTGTGAATCACCAGATCTGTTCGGATCCATTCCCATTGTCAAACATTGAAACCGTGTGCCATGAGTTTGCTGGTATGAAATACTTTGCTAAAGTTGATCATAAGCCAGCATATAATTAGATAACAATTGATAGAAAGTTTCAAGAAGTCACCATAATGAACACTGGATTAATAAGATGAACTAATCTGCCATTTGGAGTAAAAATGTCAAGTCACATTTTCCAAAAAGCCATTGAAAATTTTTTAGAGAGGATTAAAAATATAATTGTATATCAGGATGACTTTGGCATTTGTGCGTGAACTAAAGAAGAGCTCAAAGGTAAATGGAGCAAGTTTTGAGAAAATTAAATAATGTTGGTATGACAATCACAATAAATGCAAGTTTAATTATGAGAAAATATCACACTTAGGATATCAAATATCCAAAGATGGTATATCGTCAGATGATAAACTCATTAATAAGATATCAGAGACAGCTGCATGCAGAAATAAAAAAGAGTTAGGATCTTTTTTAGGATTAACCAATTCCTATAACAGATATTTGCTGCGATATAGTGACTTTGTGGAACCATTTAATGAAGTAAGGAAGAAAAATACGAGTTTCAGTTGACAAAAAGACAGGAGATTGCTTTCGAGAAATTAAAAGACACTCATAAGCAAACCAGTTGTTAAAAATTTTGACTTTGTAAAAGAATTGACGTTAACTACTGATGCCAGTGATTGTGCTGTAGCTGCAATATTGTCGCGGGAGGATCACCCTGTAATGTACTTATCCAGAAAACTAACATCAGTGGAGGCGAATTATTCGAATATTGAGAAGGAGCCATTGGTGATTGTGTAGACCATGGAAAGAACTAGTAAGTTTTTGCTGGGAAATAAATTTTTATGAAAATCTCATCATAAGCCTTTGGAATTTATATTCAACCCCAGTAGAGAGTTGCCAAATGTCGCATCTGCCAGGATATTAAGATATTATGGTGTTGAATTTTGACATTTTATATATTAAAGGAAATACTATTCCGCATGTGGATTCATTATCTTGATTAAATTTTGAGAGTAAAAATGTTGAAGCAAGTGAAAATTGTAAGGATAGGATTTTGCACTGGATAGAAACTGATGTATTACTCCTAAATCGGCTTAGATTAGGAACTAGGCAGGATCTAGTGTTGAATAGAATTATGGATAGAATAAAGAGAAATACATGGAGTAATTGCTCTATGGCTGAGAGGCCTTATAAACAGTCAAGACACAAATTAACACTAGAAAAAGGAGTTATATGTAATGGAGATATAGTACCTCCACAGTCTCTGAGAAAAGAAGTAATTAAAGCCATGCATAATGATATACATGGAGCTATATTGGCTATGCAAATGATGTTAGAGTTGCAAGCATGGTGGCCAAGTTTTTTAAGAGATGTGGAAGTGTATGTTAAAAAAATTGCCAAAGTGTGCAGAAATAAAGAAACTTAGGCAAACTAAAATTCACTCTTGGCCGAAGGAAATGGAGCCATGGACATGAGTACATATGGATCATGTCTACAATAAAGGTATAGGACTATTTCTGATATTAGTTGATTCGTGTTCAGGTTGGCTTGAAGATATTAAAGTCATGGATAGAAAAGCCATTACTGTGAAATGGATGTTGAGGAGAGTGTTTTCAAGAAACAGTTTTGAAAACCCTGGTCTCTGACAATGCACTTAAGTTTTGTGAAGAAAGTTTTTGTGCTAAAATGTATTGGCTGCATTCCATGCATTTTAACCACCTTACCCCTCCCCACAGTCAAATGGAATAACAGTAAAAACTCCTAAGTTATAGAGCTATTCTGCATGAAGGCAGAAGACAAAGCCCATCTGCACTGATGGGAAGACAAATAAAAGCTCCATTTATCATGTCATTTGCAACAAATGAAAGTGTGTGGTACAGAAAGGAGAAAGATTCAAGTCCTGAAAAGGCAAATTTTATAGTGCAAAAGGGATTTAACAAGGGACAAGTCATACTGGCTCACAAAAACCAATTTAGAACCACAAGAAATCCTGAATTTATGGAAGAGGAAGCAAAAGATCAGATGGCACAAGAAAGGATGAATGAATCCAGTATTGAGAGCAATCAGGAAGACCACATGAAAGTGAAGAACAAGAGAGGGAGGAGAGAATGAGTGTATCCAGTAGTAGTGAGGAACAATCTGGGGATGAGAGTGATTGGAGATATCATGATGATTCAAATGAAGAGAATCAGTTAAGACCTACATCTTCTATAAAAAGAAATAGAATCACTCTGAGAGACAGATTATTTCTCCCAGGGTTGTACGTAGAAGTTAAAGATCAACTAAAGATTTAAAGCCTCTTAGGTTCAGGGAAGTGTAGTGATATGTAAATGATGTACTGTATAAAAGAAGTATTGCTATACCTACAAGAAGAATTATCTTTTCTTGATGAGACTACATCTGTTAGAGAGAATACCTATCACAACATTTATATTGAGTGTTGATGGGCTGAGATTTGATTTATTATCAAAAACTTGTAATTTATCATTAGCCAAGTTTCTCCAAATTTGGCTTGTTCAAAAATTCCCTCCCAGATTCCCACATGTTTATTGGTTGGAAACTTCATCCTCTCACTCTCAGGGTGGCTTTAACTAATTACATTACTAACTAGATCTCAATCAAGTAATGTTACCTGGTAAAATTCTAATTTTCCCAGTATTCAATTTCCATTCACCCATCCATTTTCAAACCTATTTTCCGCCCATCCTGCAGATAGGAAAAATTCATGTTTAACAAGCACAATCCATCATTTTGTCCATGTTGTGGTGTCCTCCCTCTAAAGAGTCTGTTAGACTCTTCTGCCAAATATAACATTATTAGGACAGAAGGCTTCAGGGACCAGTGAATAGATTGAGTGCTAATTCATTCGATACACTCTCACTAGTCATGTAATACTGTTCTGGTGTACTTACTGTTTAATATACAATATATCTGTAAACCTGGTTTTTGTTATTATTGAACCATTTACTTGGTCACAACTTGGCAACAAAGGATTTGAAGAAACGGACTTCTTGTTAAATCATAAATTTTTTTTTTTTTTGCCAGTGTCTACAACAGTGGTGAAGAAAGGAATTCTAATTCAACTCTACAGCAAAAAGGTATCCAGTGTTAATTACAACACTGACAGTGAAAAAAAAGAAACTCTTCAAACAAGAGGATTTCTACAAATTTCAATTCAGTGGTTGGGAAGAAGGTTGGTGAACCTTGTTATTTTTTCCATTCCAACAAGTCAGTGAAAGAACTTATTGTTTTTGCTGATAGGGTAAAGTAAAAATTTACCTCCTCTTCCACTTTTAAATTTTTCAGTAAAAGAATTGTACAAGTCAAACAGATTTATTTAAGAGGGTAAAGAGAAAAAATTCCCCCCCTCTCATTTCTTAATTTTACACAGTAAAATGGATGAATTTAAAAGTGTAATGCTAAAGTTGTTGAAACATCAACAGGAACAACATTTGCTGTTGGAGCTGAAATACCAAGAAAGACAAGAGGAATTCCAATGAGAACTAGCAGAATACCAGAAGAAATTTGAGGAATTGCACCTAGAAATTCAGGTCAGACAACAGAAACTGGAAGAAATGCTCCTTCAAACACAGAATGAGCAAAGGCACTTGTATATGTCCATAAAAAAACAAAACGAGGACAGCGATAATGCGTTCTCTCAAAAAAACTATATGGAGCGCTATTGAAAACTTCACATTTGCACCTGAAGAAGAAATTACATTCGTTTTGCACTTTAAACATTATGAGGACTTATACAGTACGGATTGTGCAAATTGGGCTGACCATAAAAAGGTTTACCTACTCCTCAGGAAATTAGGCACAGCAGAATATACCAAGTTTGTTAACTATATTTTGCCTAAGAAAACCAGCAACTTGAAATTTAAAGAGGCAGTTCAATCATTAACAGAACTTTTCAGTTCAAAAATGTCACTGTTCCCCAAGCGTTGGAAATGCATGAATCTCACTTGCAAAGAAGTCGAAGATTATACTACTTTCGTGAGTGTAGTTAATAAACACTGTGATGACTCCAAATTGGCAGAGTTAAATGCCAATAATTTTAAATATTTGATTTTCGTTCAGGGTTTGATTTCAGTGAAAGATGCCAAAATATGTCATTGGGTACTCAACAAACTTGAAAATGAACCTGACGTTACTTTACAGCAAATTGTCAAAGATTGTCAACGTTTCATGAGCATCAGAAAAGATTCAAAAAACATCAAACAGAGTGGCATGGCTCACATTAATGAAATATGCCAAAGAAAAATTAAAAAAATATGCCAACCAAAGAATAAAGTTACTTTGCCTTCAAGACCATGTTTCAGGTGTGGTCAATTGCATTGCTATAGAGAGTGTCCTTTTAAATATACAAAATGTTTTAATTGTGATAAATTGGGACACAAAAGTACTCACTGCAGGATTAAGAACAAGACAAAAAGTGTTGTAAAAATTACCAAGTCTGATGAACCAGAAAGTTGTGACATCAGGAAATATATTGAAGTGCAAATATTTAACAAAAATATAAGGCTACAGCTTGATTTGGGTTCAGACTTATCCATAATTAATTATCAAACATGGAAAAAACTGGGTAAGCCAACTTTAAGAACAAACTGAATAGCTAAAAGTGTAACTGGTGATCCTATTAGGTTTATGGGCAAACTTATAATGAACATATCATTCAAAGGTAAAACTAAAGGTATATATATTATGAAGAATACAGGTAATTTGTTTAGGACTGATTGGTTAGAACAGTTTCAACTTTGGAATATGTCTATTAACTAATTATGTCAAAAACTTGACTGACGAAGCAGAAAAGTTGAAGGGTGAACTTAAAAAAAAAAAAAAAAAAATTTTCCTGACGGAAACTGAACCCTTAATTTCGCTCATGGGGGTAGACTGTTCTAGTTTAATGGGTGTCAATTATCAGTTATCTCCTGTTAATTTTACCTCTGAAAGTTCTCCACTGCCTTAGCCAGGTATTGAACTCACACTCTTTGGGTTCTGTCACTGGATCTAACCAACACCTTTATCCACTGTGCCATGTGTCCTTGAGGACATCTGTGTATGAATTTCTGGGTATTATAAACCCAATGTCTTCAGCAACCATTTTTACCAGTGTTCATATTGCAATTTTTGATGTTATCATTTCATGTTTTTACCAGAGCTCATATTGCAATTTTTGATGTTATCATTGCATGTTTTTACCAGAGCTCATATTGCAACTTTTGTTGTTATTATCGCTTTTCTCTGGTACTCCTTATTACTGGTTCCCATATTGTATTTATTTCTATGCTTGGTCGGCCCAGGAGATTTTTTTATGTGCTGATTCCTTAAGTTTACGAATTTTCCAATGGTGTCCCTTGTCTATGATCTCAACTTGATCCCACAGAGGGTGGTGATCTCCCTTCTCTCTCCATATGTGGTCAGCCACGCCTGATTTTTCCACTTCCCCTCATGTTACAGCTTTCTGATGTTCTTGAAGCCTTAACTTGAGGGGGCGGCCTGTCTCCCCTTTATATTTCTTTCCGCAGCTGCATGGGATAGCGTACACACAGTCTTTCAGGTTCTACTGGACCATGTGAACTCAATAAAACCTTCAATACAGTTCACAATTGAGAAAGAGAGTAACGACACACTCCCATTCCTGGATGTTCTAATATCTCGAACAGAGCATGGGTTTAAGACATCTGTATACCGTAAACCGTCATTCATTGGACAGTATCTCAATTTCAACTCCCACCATCCATACAGCGTAAAGAGAGGGATCGTCTGCTGCTTACAACACCGAGCATAAGTCATAAGTGGTGACCCAGAGACATTAGATAAAGAATTGATCAGTATAAGTAGTACCTTAGAATGTTACAACTACCCTGGGTACATGGCAGCAGCCCCCAAAAACTGGAATAGGCGGGTACAAGAGGAGGAGGACAACAACACTCAGAAAACAGTCTGCCTGCCTTATGTGAAGGGGTTATCAGAGAAAATACAAAGGATCTGCGGTCCATATAACATCAGGACAACCTTCAAAAGCTTGACAACACTTTGCAGATATCTCTCCCAAGTAAGACTCCCCATAGTGAAGAAGATGACTAAAGACTGTGTATATGCTATCCCGTGCAGCTTCGGAAAAGAATATAAAGGGGAGACAGGCTGCCCCCTCAAAGTAAGACTTCAAGAACACCAGAAAGCTGTAACATGAGGGGAAGTGGAAAAGTCAGGCGTAGCTGACCACATATGGAGAGAGAAGGGAGATCACCACCCTCTGTGGGATCAAGTTGAGATCATAGACACGGGATACCATTGGAAAATTTGTAAACTTAAGGAATCAGCACATATGCTAGGCCACAAAAATCTCTTGAGCCGACCAAGCATATAAATAAATACGATATGGGAACCGGTAATAATGAGTGCCAGAGGAAAGCGATAATAACAAAAGTTGCAATATGAGCTCTGGTAAAAACATGCAATGATAACATCAAAAATTGCAATATGAACACTGGTAAAAATGGTTGCTGAAAACATTAGGATTATAATACCCAGAAATTCATACACATGGCACAGTGGATAAAGGCGTTGGTTAGATCCAGTGACAGAACCCAAAGAGTGTGAGTTCAATACCTGGCTAAGGCAGTGGAGAACTTTCAGAGGGAAAATTAACAGGAGATAATTGATAACTGACATCCATTAAACATGGCACATGGAACTAGAACAATCTTCCCCCGTGAGTGAAATAAAGGGTTCAGTTCAACATTCCAACCACCTGAAGAAGGCCTGAGCGTACAACGGCCGAAACGTTGTAATAAATATGGCGACAAAGATTCGGATTATAATGTAAATAATGTACTTAATCATTTACTTGGTCACAACAGTCTACAAGGCAATCTTTATATATCCAGTCTCATCTGGATTTAATTTCACAGCAATTTATTTTCTGCAGCAGCCCACTTAAGTCCTCCAGATAATTCTGTTTACTTTGTGTTGATATTTTCTTTTTTCTGCGTTTCTTATCTGGGATGACATCCAAACATCTGTCTTTTTTCCTGCCAGTATCTTATGAGATATCAACTTATGTTCAAGTCTCACTTTTTAGATTTAAGGCCTTTTAGTTCAAAAGGCTGAATCCTTCCTTATGTAGAAAAACAGGCTCTAGAGTTCTTTAGGTATTCTGGTAAAATCCAAATTATTAGTTTGATTCTCCCATCCAGATATCAATTAAGTTCATTCCAACTGAACATCACATATAGATTCACTTGTAAATTTTACCTGAATAGCTCTGTTACATTCCTCTCTCAACCACTTGTAATTTGCCTTACTTGAGTTACAGCCACAACAATTTCCATCCTAACTGACCATTAGATGTAGTCATGTACTTGTAAAATCCACTCCACTAACTCTTGTTACAAGTTATTTGAATTGTACTATTACAATGTAACTTCTTTTATGTGCCATGTCCCTTTAGGATGTAGGTGATCATGGCTCTCTATTTCATCCTGTCTCTTGTAGCTCTCAATAAGTTTTGTCTTTTTGTTATTTCTCCTAGACCCTGTTCTGCTATCCACTTGCTTAAGCCTGTTAAGTATGCCATGTGCTGCTGTCCTTTGTCCCTCTTTCCCTCTATCCACCCAGTGAGTATCAGATTTTCCAAGCCCTCCTTTCTCATTACATGTCCTAGAAATTTCAGCTGCCTTTTTCTCTTTGTTTGCATCCTCTCCAAAACCTCGTCATTGCTCATGTTCCATCCATGGTATCCTTAGCATCCTTCTGTAGAACCATACCTCTGTTGCCTTGAGTCTCTTTTTCATCTTTGAGGATACCATCCAATATTTGCTGCCATAAAGGAGGACAGATATGTAGAAGTTCAGTACTCTTTTCTTTGTTACCAATGAAACCCTCCTGTCTTGCAATACTCTGCCTAGCTTTTAGAATGTGTCTTTGGCCATCCCAATATGTCTTCAGATCTCAGTGTCGCACTTACTGTTCTGTCAGAACACTTCCCAGATATTTAAATTTTCGTACCTGCTTGATCTTAGTGTCCCTGGCTTGTAAATTGCATTTTGGACTCATCTTTTTGCTAATGACTATGCATTCTGTCTTGTAGTTTATGTTTAGTTCTTTCTTCTCACTCTCTTTTGCTACCTTCTGTAGTTTCCTTTCAGTGTTTGCTATCAACACTGTTATCTGCGTATCTTATGTTGTTAAGATTGTGGCCACCAATGATGAATCCTGGTAGGATTTTTAGTTCTCTCAGAATTGGGTCGCTGTATAAGTTGAATAATCCCAGTGAGAAGACACATCCTTGCTTCATTTCCCATGTCTATTTTTGTATATCTGCTGAACTTATTTTTTATCTTTATGCAGGCAGTTTGCTGCCAATAGAGATTTTTGATTATTCTAATGTCTTTTCCGAATATGTTAAGGATGCTGAGCAGCTCTAAAAGATCTTTGTGATGTACTTTGTAGAATGCCTATATAAAACACAGGTGCATGTTCTGCATTTGTATTGCTCTTTCTGATAACATTCTGAGAATGAATATCGCATTTCAATGTAGCTATCATAATAGCGTATGCACTGACAGCACAAAGTAAGGATCTGAATCTTTTTACTCCATACCAGACAATGCCAAGGCTTATTGCAAATCACAAGACTTCATAATTATCATGGGAGACCTAAACGCCAAAGTAGACAAGCAGGGAAAATGGCTGGCAAATTCAGACATGGAACCTGCAATGAATGTGGAGAAAAATGGGTCCAATGGTTCACAACCAATGACCAGGTAATAGCCAACACATGGTTCCAAGAATATCTGAGATGATTATGGACATGGAGAGGCTCAGGTGGAGAAATTGAAACCAAATTGACTACATGATTATCAACAAACGATTAAAGAATGCAATGGTTCACTGCAAAACCTACCCAAGTGCTGACTGCGGAAGCGACCCTCGCCCAGCTATATGTAAACTAAGAGTGAAACTATGGAAACTGAAGAAGCCTAATGCAACACCCAAATTGCTATACAACAAACTACTGAGCAACCTGAACCTGAAGGAAAATATTATGGACAGTGTGAAAAGAAGACATGAGGAATGAAATGGAAACTCAATATGGGATGCACTAAGAGAAGCTTTAGTGACATCATCAAATGATATCATCCCAAAGGAGAGCAGACAAAAAAGAAAAAAAACAAATGGATAACTGATGAAATTATCAATATGATGCAATATGGAATGGAGTACAGAAAACTAGACAATGAAATAAGGATCAAATGCAGGCTGGCTAAAAAAGAGTAGCTAAACAAAAAAAATATGCAAAATAGAGAGATTGAGTACCACAGACAAAGAGATCTACATAAACAAATAAGCGAACTAACATGACAGAAGACATGCTTGTCAACAGGCTGCATAAAATCCAAGGATGGAATGCTCATATTATAGAAGGGAAAAATTCTTCAAGTGCTGGAACGAATATATTGAAGAACTCTTTCATGATGAAAGAGAACAACTGGCAATACACAGAATTACTGATGGGTCTGAAATTCTAAAAACCGAAGTAGAAGTGGTACTGGCCAAATTGAACAGAAACAAGGTGGTAGAACCAGGTGGAATTGTAACAGAGATGCTGACAGCTTTAGATGATTTTGGCATAGACAAGATTATGGAAATAATAAAATGAAATCTACAACACTGGGGATATACTGGAAGATCTAAGCAGATATATTTTCATAGCACTGCTGAAGAAACTCGGTGCAAATGAATGTGAATTCCACCAAAAAATCAGCCTAATGAGCTGCATAACAAAATCATCGTCTGTATTCTAGTGATTACAGCAGAATCAGGCCAGAGATAGGATAAAAACAGTGCATGTTTGTTAAAGACACTGGAACAATATAACTAACTTGTTTTAAAACTGTACAAATGTATAGTTTTATTTAGGCATTTTTAACAAACTAAAATATCATTCATTCTGTCACTGTCAAATACTGGACATAACTTGTGCAATGACTTGACACACACACTAATATATATATATATATATATATATAATATATGTGTGTGTGTGTTTTCTATTTATCCTTTTGTTTGGAGTGTCAAGTCTTTCATGTAAAATACATTTTTTTGCTTTCTTGGATTCAAACTGTTTTTTTTTTTCTATTAGACTTTGCCTCTCTAATTATATTTTTTGCTGTTGTATTGTTTCACATTGTACAACCCACTTTCTATGACACATTGCTCACTTTACATTTTTTTCTATTTTTTTTTTTTTTTTTATTTCTTTGAATGGATTGCTGACAACCTGGCTTTGACATAGTCAGGTAGTTTAAACATTATCTGAATTTTTATTTTTTTTATTTCAATTCATGTTCTGACATAAATTGCTCCCTATTTATAGTGTTAACTTTTAAAAAACAATTTCAAAATCAAATTGTTACTGCATTTAAAACATGAGTTTATTTATTTTTAATTTATTTTTTTAAAATCGTTTTACAGCAGTTTGAACATTGATTTAATTAATTTTCAAATCACGAGAAGAAATAAAAGTTCCCTCTTGAGAAAAAAAATAGTTCTTGAAATATAGTAAATTGACAGTTGACTGTCTTTCAAAAGAAGAACTTCTTGAATAGAATCAACTGCTGTGAATATTAATTTCTGGTTTTCATTTAGCTATTAATCTTATTCTATTGGTATTTAAATTAAGCTCCAATATTTTCTCCATTTTTTTTAAGTTTAGTATACAATTGCAAGAGGATTATGTAAATAGTTACCTCCCTTGAGTTAATGTTTTGCATTTCCAGCTATTTCCAGCAAAAAAAGAATAGAAAATGAGGTTTTAGATTAACAAAAGTTTTTTAATGTATAAATCAATTAACTGGATTCAGATTTTTTCTTACTTATTCATAGTAACTTATAATAAGCTTCTATTTATAAAATTTATAAATATTGCGATCATAATATAAGCTGAATGTGCTTACTATAACTTGATAATAGCATTTCAAATCAATTGTATAAAAAAAACCTTTTTTGCAGTGCATTTTTGTTCAGTGTATTTCACACTAACTTTATGCATATGTTGGAAGCTATATTTTTATATGTAAGTTTTGTTTATAGTAACTATTAATTCTTGAAAAGGTTTCTTTTTCCCTTTAAAAAAAATAATGATTTTTATTCTTTTCAGGGAGACATTTCCTCATGTGGCATTTATGCCTCTGAATTGCAAATCTCTTCTTCCATGACATTTTCACCCATAATTTAAAGCAAAGAAACTAAGAAAAAAGTAAGTTGATTATAATACATAAAATATAAATTATTTTTTGATATATTTTAAAATTATCTTTTAATTTGATCATTTTCAATTATTGTATGTCTTTACATTCAGACTAGTATACTTTTGATTGATATACTGAAAACATATCAGTCATTTTAACCTCCAGTCTTATTCAGGTATTTGTTATACTTTGTAACCTTTTTGGAATTTTGAACTGAACACTTTATTCAGTTGACAGGATGTAGATTGTTCTCATTCCACTTTCCATGCTTAAGGTATTTTGTGTCAGTTAAAACTCCTCAGTCTCTTCATCTGTGTATTGCCTGTCTGTTTCTTCCACTGAACCAGACCATGTGACTTTTCTGCATTACCCAAACTAAGGATTGAACTTGCAACTGCCAGGGAACCAGATGTTTTTTTTTTTTAATAGACTGGTGAATATTAACTGATATGAGTTATCTTCCCTGACAAGCAGAATGAGAACATTCTACTCTTGTAGTTTGAATAAAGGTTTTTGTGGAAAATTCTAAGATGGTTACTCTATACAACAGATACCTAGTGAAAGTTGGAGGATACAACAGCCGAAATATTGTAAATATAACTATCAAGATGAGTTCAAATATAAAGGTGTATGATAATGTTAATGCTTCTTCTTAAAAAAAAAAAATTCTAACATAAATTACCATAAATATTTTAAGCAAACTTTCTTTGAAATAACTTGTCTCATTTAAGACCTGATCTAATGCAATGCTGATGCACCAAAAATTATTTCAGAATGGCTATAATGTCTTTATATATTTATTGGAAATTGGTGAAATATTTTGTTTCATTTGCGTAAGGCAAAATAGCTTTATTCATTGAATAGAATGTATTCATTTATTTACGTTTTGGTTAGACTGTTTTGAATATTATGTTAAAATCATGAAGAAAGCAGAGGAAAACTAATAGGCTCTTTGTTTATTTTTTTCTTTCAATGATAAATGTATGTATTCAACCATTTGTTGCTTGTGTGAATTTTAACAATATTTGATTTTTGTTGGCTTCTATATTCCAAATTTGGATGAAGTTTTCAATCTGCACTAAAATAAATAACCAATTAATTCTTTTAATATCCATGTCTTTTCAATCTAGTTATTTGATTTTTTTTTTTTTTTTTTTTTTTTTTTTTTGACTCTGCTAGCTGTCTGGATTCTATTTCTCTAAAGCTTTTAACATATATGATGAAATGATTGAGGTGTACAATTGGAACTGTAATCAGAAAAATCATTTTTTTCTGCTTTTGCAAAATTTTATTTTATTTGAAAGGATTAATCTAAATTAATATCTAGATCAGTAGTTCCTAAACTTTTTTCCTCTGGGCCACATTTTCGAAATGAAAATTTGCTCACACCTCACTAAATTTTATGTGATAAAAAGTACATTTAAAAATAAAAAAACAGTGTTAAAGGGAGATAACCACGGATTCAAAGTCAGAGCATTATCATTGATAACTCTCTTCTTCAATTTACGGAACCTAGTTCTTAATAATTGATATAATGCAAAAATATAATAATAAAATAGGTCAATAATTATTTATAACTATTTAAACTGAGACTCATGCATGCAATTACAAGTAATCCATAATAATATTTTAAATTTTAAAATCGTATTTATTTTTGGTATATGACATTTTTAAAACTGTTTCTAAATCTTTGATTGTCTTTCAATCATTCCGCCTCACTTGCTATCCTCTTTTATGCTGCACCTATGAGGTGTGCCTCACCATTTGGGAACCACTGATCTAGATTATAAAAATTTTCTTTTTTAATTAAATTTTACTTTAATAAGTGGTGTCTAGTTTATGTAAATTGATCCTCCTACAAAAGCCAAAACAAATATGCTCAAACAAATGTGATTTCTTAAAATGTAAACAAAATTTTGAATTTCACAATTTTTTTTCATAGATTACTGTTGAATAAGCAATCCATATCACGAATTGAAAAAATTTTTTTTTTTTTTTTTTTTTTAAAGCACATTTTTAGTAATTCTCTGTGTATGTGGTTGGGGGTATCAATCAAGAATTAATTTAAAAATAGGAGAATATATAAGAATATACATAATCATTTTTAATGCTTCCTTTTCTGTTTTAGAAATGTGTTCCCAAAAAGGAATATTTTGTTTAATCCTGAAGGATTTATGTAAACCCTGCCTAAGAATATGGCTGAACTATCAGGTAAGCTCAGTTTGAATATATTTTGTGATATCTCCTATTTTTCATTTAATTGCACTCATTCTCATATGTATATCTGGGCCAGGTTTTGTAATTGTGATGCTCTTTTGTCATGTAGTTTTTTTTTGTTAACAGCCTTTGAGATCATAGTTTCTGAAATTCTAATGTTTCTATATTCATAAGTAACACTATAAAAAAATATTGATAATTGCTTTTAGTAATTGTCTTTTCTCCTTTCAGTGATCTGGCTACATACAATACAAGATGTATAAGTTATTAACAGTTAAACTAATCACTATATATATATATATATATATATATATATATATATATATATATATATATATATATATATATATAAAAAGAATTTCTCTTATTTGTTCAGCTTATGTTACTTGAAAATGTTAACATTTTATCACTTCAGGATTTATATAATAAAATATTAGACTATAAGGTTCCTATTTTGTACAATAAAATTTTTATATTCAACACACACATACACAATAACATTCTTTTGATGATTTATCCATTAACACTTTCACACTGTGTGATTTTCAAAATAGAAACTCCATAGTTTTAAAGTTCTTTTTCATGCTTTTCAATCAGAGTAGGCTATTTTATATTCCATTCTATTACTGGTGTTTTAGGGAGTGTTCAAGAATAACAAATGTTTATTTTGAAATAATGACAAAGGGAAAACTTATCTTAGCTGATGCATTTTGTCTTCCAAGGGACTTTATCAAGGAAAATGCAAGGATTTATAGACAAGAGCAAAAATGTTATTAATTTTCAAAATTTTTAAATTAACAAATGCTCATAAATATTCATCAGGTTTGCTGAAAAATCTATGTAAGTTATGGAGGATGCTAAGTGACATCATTTAATGTCTAATAAATGGAATTTGCAAATTAATATTTAAATTATTTTAGTTCAGGATTAATTTATGCATTATATGTTATAAATAACATGAGGTTATGAATTTAACTGTTTTCTTTTAACATTTTTATACTCATGTTGGCTTGGGAAAGTAGTAATCCATTCAGGAATGGAGATATTTGACAAAAATTTTTATTTTTATTTTGATAAGATTCGATAGTGGCACACTCGAGAATTGTGGCATTCTTTAGATCAAAATTGTAGTTGAATTTATTTCTATGTGTAACTAATGCATTTGATAAATTGATGTGTATAAGATCCCTTTTGTGTTCATAGATATAGATTTAAATTTCTGTGATGGCTGAGGATAAGTGGGAACCATAAATCAAATAAAATTAAATTACCTTGTCGTCTCTCAAGAGAATGTCTGTCTGTTTCTTTCATCTGTATCCATATTAGAGCCTTTGGCATTGTTGGATTTTAAATTAGTCCATCTAAAACTAGAGTGTGTTTTTTTTTTTTTTATTTTAATCTATTTATTTAATTATTTTTATTTTTTTTATAAATGACTGACCAATGAGAATTGATCCAAACAAAATTGAAAATACCAAAGTCATTTTGTCTGTTTTCTCTCAATCTCTGACAAAGCTTTAATAAAAGTGAAACATGTTAAATTGATAATTGTTTTCTACTTGTTCTTTATCTTATCATATTAATCACATTTTTATTGCATTATTTTATATTGTCGCAATTAATTTTGATTATTCCCAAATTTATTTTCAAGTTATAAAAATTGGTATTGTAAAAAATTTTGTCACAAAAAATTGCTAAAAACAATTGCAGTAATGAAAATTTGGGAACCCCAAATTTCAGGATTGCAGGTATGGATCTGACCTGGAAATATTTTTAATTTGCTCACAAAGTCAGTCAGCTTGATTCCAAAATGGTATGATATGTTGGGCTACAGCCTCTAGGAGTAATGTTGAAAACTCAGACAATTTTATTTTGAAACACTGTAAATTGAGAACAGTAATTTTTTTCATTTGAATGTGAGCTATTGAAAGTTGGAGAGTTGTCTCTTTAATTGTTTTTATAGTAGAAGCTAAGATGGTGGAATCCAAAAAAATCGCAGTAATGAAAATTTGGGAATTCAAAATTTCAGGATTGTGTCCCCAGATCTGTCCTGGAATGTTTTTAATTTGCTCATGGAGTCATTTTCTCCAAATGTGAATCCTTGAAGCAAAAATTAAACTATTTGCGTGTAATTCATCTGTCCATAAAACACTTTCCCAAAATGATTCAGATTTATTCTTATGCTCACAAACAAATTTTAATCAGGTATCCTTATGTTTCTTCAATAATAATGGAGTTTTTCTTGGAGAATATAATCTTAGTTGATTTCTATAAAGTTTATTGCTTATTGTTTACTTTGTAACAATAATAACTGATGCTTTTAATTCTTTCTGTATTTCACTAAGAGTAATCATTGGATTTTTCTTGAATTTTGTGCTGAATTCTTCTCATTGATCTGGGAGAAATCTTGTGTGGTGCACCAGATCTCGATTTTTTTCTCAACAGTTTCCACCTTTTTATACTTAGCAATAATTGAACTAATAGTAGTAAATGGTATATTCAGGTTATCTGCTATTTTCCTATAGCTTTTGCCTTCCAATATTTGATGATCAATTCTTTTTATGAATTTGATATTTCCTTGCCTTTCCCCATGATGAGAATTATTGTGTATGATTTGTGTGTGGATTATATAATATATAAAAATGAATTGCAGAATGTTCTAGATTGTTCCGGTAATAAGATAATTGGAAGAATCTAGCAAAATCTTACAAAGAATTATGTAGATAAAGGTAATTTAAACCTTTTGATATTAAAGACATATTTAGTACAAATACTTTTTTCACCTCTAAATTTTATAAATAACACATAATTCCATTTATAACAAAGTTTTGTAATTGTTTTTTGCATATTGTAGCATTATGCAATTGTGTAAAAATATTGTATGGATTTTAAGTTTTTTCATAAGTTATAACTATGTTAATTAAAAAGATTTCATCAAAAACGAATATTTATTTTTCTCACTATCTATCTAATATATATATATATATATATATATATATATATATATATATATATATAAAAAAATGTGTGTGTGTGTTTTTACATACACACACCCTAAAGGCATATTAGAGTTTTTTGTATACATACAACTATTTCTTATAAATGTACCTGGACACACATACACTAATAATAAATATATATACCAGAGTAAAACAAATAGTGAAATATTTGTTAAAACTGAATGTATTAAGTGTTCAATACAAAGTCGGAAGACCAGACTTGCAGTTATCAAGCTCCGTGTAGTTGATTTGTTGAACAAACCATCTGAGGAGACCATAGAGGTCAAAACTGCAGTAGTGTGCTCTGGTCAGATTTCATTTTTTTATATATATATATATATATATATATATATATATATATATATATATATATATATATATATATATATATAATTGGTGTATACAGAATGAATTCAACCAACAATTACTATTCTTAAAAGAGTGCTCAATACAAAAAGAGCAGATATAATTATTTTTTTTTTTAAATTTATAACATAAATATGTTATAAAATCACTACAAGAATAGCCATTTTGTTTCAATACCCCTGGTGTCTTATCAAGTGATGATGTTGAATGTAAAATAAATGGTTTTAAAAGTTTAAAATTAATTAACGATCCTTCGCAAGGGGAAAACGCTCTTACGAAAGGTAGAATGACCAATCAAAATACAAGTATAGGAAAATTCAAAAAGCTTGACAACGAAGTCATGTTATAATAGCTATTCAGATCTTTAAAATACGGGTAATATTAAAAAAGAATTTATTCTAACCAACAATTATTAAATTATATGATAAAATTTGATATTTAAATTAAAAATTGCCAATTTTAAAATCCAAATTTAATCACTATTAAGTTTAAAAATTACTGAGGAGAAAAGAAGAAATACATATGTTATTCAATTTATTTCTTCGTTGAAATTACGTTAGAATAGACGCTATGTCATCCGGTCCTCCAACAATATTTGTATACATTTTAATCTCAAGTGTGTGAAGGGGTCCTGACCTCATGCGTAAAAAACAACAACAAACACAATCAGATTATAATACATAAGCACCCAGACATATTTTTATATATATATATATATATATATATATATATATATATATATATATATATATATACACACACAAAAAAAAAGTGACGAGACAGGGAACATCTCCATGGCCCTTTATAAAAAAAAAAAAAGGTGGGGAGACCAACACCTACATACATACACAATTAAAAGTGAATGCACTTTCTATACACATAGACACCAATAAATACATGTACACACATCCACAGACATTGACCTAGACAATCAGATACCACAACCAATAAATATTTAAGACTGAAAGTGTCATTAAACAAATGCTAGCCACTTATTAAAATATAACTTAAGCGAGCAAATATATAAAGATAAAAAATGGTTAAAAATAATATTATTTAATATATTAAAAAACGAAAATTCCAAAACCACAATTATCAATAAAAACGTATATTTTAATCATATAAGTTGATAATAGTTTTATTATATATTAGGTGAAGGAAAATGATAAAAAGAACTACCTACAGAAATAAGTGTACTGTCATACGTACATACACATATATACACATGGCAGCAAACACAAACCAACACACATATATATATATATATATAAATACATAAACAAATATATACATACATATACATATCCATGATAACAAGTACACATACAAATACACACACACACACATATATATATATATATACACACATTTATGCACACATACTCATATATATATATATATATATATATATAAAAACATATATACACACATAGACTAACTCATGTGACAATAATTACAAACCAAAGTTTCTATACATACACACAAACAATCTCGTATATAATAGGTGTCAACACACACATATATACATCCACAAACATACATACATATATATATATATATCAGCTCACGATTCGGCGATCGGGCAACACCTATTAGAAAATGAGTCATGCTCAAAACGTTTCTCAATGG